AGTTAATTCTCTTAACATTTTGGAAATGTGGAAAATCGTGTTCAGTTGCTGTGCATCACCTCTAAGTATTTGCACAAATTTATAACATTCTGTATACTTCTTAAATATAATTGTAATCTGGTAGTATTCGCGACTGTTGCTCACTTATTTTTCGAAGTCTGATCAGCCCTAATGGGTTGGTGTCTAACGAAATCTCAGCACGGATTCAATAAGTTCTTTTGGCTTTTGCCAACTAACATCACCTATGGCGAAGGCGAGATATCCGTATATCAATTAAGGAATGAATATACTACGCAGCAGTTCGTTCTGTTCTACTTTACAGCTGGGAAACGTGGCCATTAAGAGTAGAAGATACTCGCAAGTTACTGGCATCTAGTCACAGATGTTATGGAATCGTTGCTCGCATCTGCTGGTGTCATCGGGTAAGTAATAGTGAGGTTAGACACATGATATTATGGAATGATGATAAATCAGTTGATGAAGTTGTGAATCTTCATCGACTGAGATGGTTGAGCCACGTGTTGCTTATGCCTGAACATCGATTACCACGATGCGCAATGCTATCCGGTATTGGAAATGGTTGGAAGAAAGTTAGGGGCGGCCAAACCAAAACGTGGCATCAGTGCCTGAGGTCATTAACTTCTAGTCTGAGCCATGTTGGTAGATGCAGACTACTTGGTTGGGGTCCGCGTGACTATCGTAACCAATGGTTGGAGACTCTTGGTGACATGGCTCAGGATCGATCACAATGTCGTAGGTGTATACATTCTCTGTCTTCCCTTAAACTATGAAATTAAAATCACTTTATACCTTTCTTTCTATCAAATAATTCTTTCTTCCTGTACTATATCCTTATACACAATCTTTCTTTTATATATTAGAATCATTGAAGTAATTACTTCTATGAATTTGGTGTTTATCTTGTGCTGATGGGGTGCGACGACTTGGACCGATGCACATATGTGCCTGGTCCTACATTGTAGCTGAATGTTTATTCGAATGTAACAGTCACTGTATTTCGTGCGCTTAGCCTCCGTTTCGATTGTTGACTACACACAGATGTTCGTTGTTATTTACACTGTCGCATGTTGGAAACGGTCTGTGTAATTATTCTACGAAGCATTTTTCATTTTATATACATTGGTAAGTTAAACGACTCATATGCCTCACAAGTTGGAGTGTACAACTATTGTCTTATGACCGCTGGCCAATTCTGCATGACGAACCATCCAATCAGAATCCCGAATTTTATGATCTAATATATCAGAGTTGACTAATAACAAATCCAACCAGTACTAGTAACCTTGAGTCAACTGCTGAATACTTCCTGATCCATGATTTTCTGTCTCCTCTCTCTGTGACCTGTTGAGTCCAGAAGTCAGAAACCAACTTCGACCATATCACACTATGAAACGAAAAAAGAACAATTATACATCATCAAGCTAAAGTGGCTGTGATAATAAATTTGCAACGTATTAAGATTAGTAAACCATACAACAGTATTTAATGGGTTAATATATATATATATATATATATATATATATATATATATATATATATATATATATATATATATATATCGTAATCTAGTGTCTTAATAAACGTCCAACAAAATTATAATTAAAAATATTTCCCAAAAACCAGTTCTGACTTTTACAATATTCCTCCCTTTATAACAGCAACTGTTTTGGATATATTTTTACAGTAATAGTACTGCTCTCTAGATAAAATCGTTTTGATAAACTCTGGTTACTGTGAGTAACTCTGTCGTGTGGTTAGATGCTTCAGTAGATTTAACACCTTTTAATTCGATTACGGTTTCAATAACCTTTTATCCTATGTGTTTAGTAAAGTTGGATTTTAGCCAGAAGTGGAATCTCGGATGTATATTCCATTCAATTTTTCACACTTGTTTTGAAAAAAGAGTGGAAGGAAATATTGTACCAATCTGATCAGTATGTATATATGCAAAGAACGACGGGTTGATTGAAGGCTTTAATATCAATAACGAGATTTAAAACCCTTACTGATAACTTCATAACCACTATACAAGTTAATGGGGAGCTAAAATCGACAGATTTATGAAAAACGAGTTGTGGTTTGAGTGAAAGATATTAGATTCGAGCTTTAGTATTATTATCAACAATGGGATGTAGAAGGTACATCTAGCTGACAAAATCCCAACAGGATGAAGTGAGAATTCTGGACTAAACTACTAACCACATAGTAAGTATACTAAATATCAAAGCAATATTTTGCTATCTTATTAGACTGAATCATTTAAATACCTGTATTGCACACCTATATACCTATTAATTACTGGCACAATCACACTATACAGTTATAAGTCCATAATTTTAATATTTTATAAAGACCAAAAATATGGTATGGCATTAATGAATTTGACAATGTAATGTGTTAACAATGGTGAACGTTTACATCTGTTACGACATATACATATACATACAAATTGTAATATTTGCAAATTAGAAAGGTCATTCAATAATGGTCTGGATTATTTTCAGTAAAGTGTTCAGTCACAATAAGTGACTGAGTATTATAGGAAAATTGAAAATGCAAAAAATTTTGTGTCAATGAAATACATAGTATGAGAATTGAATCTTGTCAATTGAGATAATAATAATAATAATGATCATAAGGACAATAAATAATAATAACATTGTAAATGTTCATTGATACAGTTGACCTTATTCATATTTATACGTTTAATGTCGATAGATAATTGTTGAGTCAGTCAGACGACGTAGGCTTGTTCATTTACACTTCATCAAACTGATATTTCAAATGCATGTCAAAAATGGTTACTTTCGTAATGTCTAGACATTGCAGGTTTCATATTACGGCGGTTAACAATATTCACATGTGACTGATTAAACACACTAGTTTTTATTGCGACCAAAAAATTAATTTTAAAATGCAGAACTGCAAATAATTTACAAGTGAAAACAATAAACCGTTTCAATGGACTTTTAAAATTAACCGCATTGAAATCTAACGTTTTCTAATTCTCATTATGAATGACCATTTACAAAATAAACGTTTACTGAATATTAAGTGGCTATTTCGGAAAATTTATTACTACTTTCATATACTGTCAAAGTCGGTCCATTAAATGATGGTCTATGGTTGCTTCACCTGAATTATACATATTGCAATCAGTAATTTATCATGATGAATTATTGATATGTTGATTTGTTTCTCCGATTAACAGACCATGTGTTACTAAAAAACTTATGTACACACTTCGGTAATAATTTGTTTATTAATTGGGTATTCAGCATTAGACAACCGACCGAATTCAGTAATAACTTTTATCAAATATTCAAACCGATTTTCAGTTCCTTTTTCAATAAACTTTCTTTTAATGTGATACATATAAGTAATCGTGGCAACATAACTAACAACTTCAATTGAAGGTTGACATTAAATCACTTGATCGGAAAACAAAAATTTATCCCAATACACATTCACTAACAGTAGGATTGCACTTAAGTCGATGTTTTTTTCCTTAAAATGGCTAAATTTCTTACAAGACTAAGATTACACAAAAAGAATTATTCATTATCATCAAATTTCAAATGTAAAAATCAAAATTCTGACATTCAATCAAAGCACTTGATGCTGTTTCGATTTCAACTAATCAGATTACAAAGATGAACAATTTACGACCATTTACCTCCTGGAGTTCTAGTGAGAAGCCGTCACCAGTGGAGTTCAACCAGGTCTGTTGTGAGATATCAGCTCACTGAAGACATTGGTGTTCGATGACGCAACTTCGTGGATTGGTTGAAGTTAGGCATTAACACCGTTGAGTGCCGGCTCAGTGGTCTAATGGTTAAGTGCTCGCACGTGAAGCCAGTAGGTCCTGGGTTCGAATCCTGCAGGGGGCGGGTTCGTGGATGCGCACTAGGACGAAACGGCCGTCCGGTGCTTCTAGGTTTCCAATGGTGGTCTAGCTTCAACTGACTCATGATTTCAACCTGTGAAATTTACTAAAATCTCCACAAAACTCATTCTGATAATTACAAAATTATTAAAGGTGACAAAATTTTTGCTCATTTTCACTTCAGTACACACTCGCAAAACAAGTCCGCCAATCACCGATCAATAGATTTTCTTTTACACACTACAATTTCTAAGAAACGGGTGGTAGGGAATCTTTATTGCCGTAGGCTTAATGTCAACCTCTATTACAAATATGTGTATGGACATACATACAGAATTAAATACACAGATAATTTGATTAATATCAGACGAGTTTTTGTGGAGATTGTAGTAATTTAAATGGTTAAGATCATGAGTCAGTTGAAGCTAGACCACCATGGAAAACCTGGAAGCACTGGACGGCCGTTTCGTCCTATTGTGGGACACCTCAGCAGCAGATAATTGTCAAATTAGACTATATTTCGTTGTTTTTTCCCAAATGCAAAATTTCTAAACACAAAACAATATATTATCATTTCCGATCCAATATATTTGTGTACAATCAAAATTATCTCCTCAATTATAAAAGTAACCAATAGTTTCAATTTTAATGGGATGTGTTTTGTTTGGTTGGTTCCCCTCCCCCTCCCCCTCCCCTATATAAAAGCCATTTTATTCTATGGCTAGAATACAAATGAAAATAGTACTATCATCCCTTTGAATTAGAAATAAAGTAGACATATTCAATGTTATATATAGATATATTGACCTAGAATCAACCAATCAGAAGAGTGGATTTTATTAATAGTGGGTGAGAAATAGCGAATAGGTTATTTGTGTTAAAATTATATTTTCAATAAATGTCAAGTGTAAAGTTGATAAGGATACACCACCCCCAAGTATTTTGTTCATTATTAGCTATACTAATAGATGAGAATGTAAAATGACCACATAATTAACTTATCGAATGTATTCAAGGTCAAAGAAAATACTTCAGCTCTTAGGAAGACTTAATTCTAAATATACATATCTTTAAATGTTCTATATTGTATAAGATGAATACCACTGGATCGTTAAATCCTACAATTCCAAATCAAAATAATATTCTTCATACAAATTTATTGTATAGAAGGGATTTAATTGATTATTTATTAAATTATATGATAAATAATAATCGAATGGATATTTTATGCTCAAACTCATTTATTATGGATTCTTTGTTAAATGTCAATTCACAATTAAATCATAATACTGTATTACATAATAGTCAATTTTATTCAAATTTAATCTCTTATTTATTTCCTATGGATTTAAATGTTAATATATTACAACAACGTCAAAACCCCCAGATACAAAATTGGATTAATGATTGGTTAGTTAATAATAACCATAGCAATAATAATAATAATAATAATAATAATAATAGTAATATTTCGGATCCAACATTAGCATACCTTAGAGTAGCTACTCAATGTATTCTACGCTACTTATTAACAACAAATCATTATCAACAAACTTTATATTTGAATTCTTTTCTTCATTCTAATTATTCATCAACATTGACTACATATAATACAACTAATCAGAATAATATATTATTTCAATCAAATAAAAATACATTAGAATCTAATTATATAATAAATGAAAATTCATCTATTACACGTATAAAACGTTATAAGTGTACTTATCCAAATTGTACAAAAGCATATTATAAAAGATCTCATTTAAATGAACATTATCATTTACATACTGGTGCTAAACCACATTTATGTAATCAACCTGGTTGTAGTGCAAGATTTACACGTGCTGATCAATTATCACGTCATAGACGTGCACATACTGGTGAACGTAATTTTCGTTGTAATGTTTGTTTAAAACGTTTTAAACGTAGTGATCATTTAAAGGTACATTTAACTAGGAATGTATGTACAAAATTTAATTTATAAAAAAAAATTTCCTATATATTTAAAAAAAAGTATCGATTTCTCTTTTGAATAGTTGAAGAGGTAAACAACAAACAATAATATTTCAGTAGTTGAGATCATGAGTCAATTGAAGCTAGACCACCATGGAAGAACTGGAAGCACTGGACGGTTGTTTCGTTCTAGTATGGGACTCTTCAGCAGTGCACATCAGCGATCCCGCCTCGCGATATTCGGACCCAGGACTTATCGGTCTCGCGTACGGACGCTTAACCTCTAGACCACTGAGCTGGCATCCAGATTTCCCATGGTGGTCTAGCTTTAATTGACTCATGAATTCAACTGTTAAATTACTATAATATCTACAAAAACCTAATCTCTATTTTACCAAATATATTTACTATATTTTAACAAAATGTATCATTGAATAGTTTATAAGGTGTTTGAAATCAAATACTTATTCTAATAGTAATCATTTGAAATATATATTTATAAAAATGATTTTTACATAATTTAGTAACCAAGTTATTCATGAAGTTATTAACAAATGGATTGAACCATGTTGGTAGTTACAGGCTACCTGATTGTTGTCCACATGATTATTGTAACTAACAATTCAAGAGTTCAAGTGAAATAATTCCTTTAAATGCCATGGTACGGCTGAGAGTGGAGAGAGTCAGCTCTCCCTCTCCAAATGCTCTCACATGGTCACGTGCATACAAACACTGCCAGGGAAGTCCTAATCAACGAATTCTCGCGGCATTACTGTTGTTTACGAAACTGAGAGGACAGACAGCGAATGTCCGTCGCTCTACCCGGGTTGGTGGATATGGAGGATACATCTAAGAAAGCTGGAAAACACTGATTCCAAACGAATGATGCACATGGCCTCCTGGGTCTCGAAGGGACAAATGGTGTATGAACCTATTGTTGATCACCGACTACCATGAGACTGCGTCTCCTAACGTTGTCGCACTACCTTATGGATCAGACCTCTTGGTCAAAGGCTTGGGGTGTGGCCTCCTAAGGAAACCACCTGCTTCGGTTTGGACACCCGGGCAGCATCCAGTCCTCACACAAATCGAATGATGAATTGTGGCGCATATGTGTTTAGTGCCTCCTTGTACTAATGTTTATACAATGTTTAATACAATTTTGAAGTATATATGTCTTAACAGATGCAAACGTCCATAGCATTGCCCAATTCATTAATACATGCCTTATTTTTGGCCTTTGTAAAATATCATAATTATGGACTTATAACTGTAGAGCCTGATGATGCAGTTATTGAAAACAATTGTTCGCTCAAATATTCTTCATTTTTAACGTTTATGTGTTCAAATGAATAAATAATTAATAAATGATTCGGAATAGGTCACAGCATCACACATAGATTCACCCTTTGTCTTTTTTAAATTTATCTTATACAGTTTATTTGGCGAATTTATCATTCCTTATCGAATCACATTGTCTATCCCCAATGTTTCCTACTATCGGTGATACTGTAACTAATTCTACTGTAACATTTGTCTTGATAGTTTCATCTTTCTGTATTGATATAGTAAGGCAACTTGAATCGATGCTCAAATGTGCTAGGTTCTTGTGTGCGTTGGAAAGTTTTATGTACATGAGGATCATCATAAATAAACAAGGAGGATTTGATGAAAATATAAAGGCATGAATTGGCAAAGCAAGGGCAGCGTTCCTACAATTGAAGAATATATGGAACTCGAAACAACTGTCAACCGATATAAAAGTCAGAATCTTTAATACGAATGTGAAGTCAGTTCTATTGTACGGGGCTGAAACTTCGAGAACTACCACAACCATCATCAACAAGTACAGGCATTTATGAAGAGTTGTCTACACAAAATACTCCAGATTGTTAGACCGGACATCATTAACAACAAGCTAGTATGGGAGAGAACAAACCGACTTCCAGCTGAATAGGAAATTAGGAAAATACGATGGAAGTGGATAAGACATACATTGGGGAAATCATCAGACTACACCACGAAGCGAGTGCTAACTTATAATTCTGAAGAAACACGGGAAGGAGAAAGGCTAAAAGACACACTGTGTCAAGAATTGGCAGTAAACACGAAAAGGATGAATAGCAACTGGACACAACTGGGAAGGATTGCTTATGATATAGTTGGATGAAGAATACTGATGGTCGGCCTATGCTCCTCCACAAGGGGTAGCAGGCGTAAGTTTCTTGTAGTCCATCAGTCGATTTTAGTCCGTGATATTCTGTTTTCATGTTTATTATTGACCAACACATTTTACTCTGAATAAATACCCAAAATGCCATATAAATGATACAGATTGATCTATTAAAGGTGAACTATTCAAAACAATAACTGCCTTGCTTGTTGAAGTGTTTCTTTTTATCCGAGACTTGTTATCCGGATTTACCTTCATTACAGTATTGATATCTACACTTGGATTCGAACTTAGTTCTTATTCGAAACTTCTTGGAAGTTTCTTAGTGGTTATTGTGTAGGTGCAAACCACACCACCTACTTCGGTTTGTGTAATCGGATAGTATAGCTACCGCTCACATTTAAAGTACAACTCGAACCGAAGTACAATGATCTATACCTGGTGATGAGCAAATGATAATGGAGTTGAAATAACCAACAATTTGTTCAACGAGGATAATGTTCTCACCATATGTATGACTTCGTATCAGTCCGTTGACAGTATTCACGATCTAAGTACACCAAAATTGAATAACTAAAATTCGGCCCTGAATATCAATAACAATCCATAATAAAGGTGACTGTCAAGTTCAGTGTGTTTTCTGAACCCATCTTGACTATGAAAAACCTTTTACCATTTTTCAATATGGTATCAAAAATAATAATCAGGATGTGATTTTGAATTAATAAATTAACTATGGATATGTGAGGTTATCTATATGTTTTTCTATGTTCAATAAGTGTCCAATATTCAACACTTATCCATCCATTTAATGGATAAGTGCCACATATAAATATAAGTTTATTGGAGATTTCATACTCTACACTGACAACTTCATAATAGACAGATATGGATAACTTCAAATGCATGAAATGAAATCCTCAATGACAATTATACTCTTTTATGCCCACAATGGTAAATGCCCGGAAATCTTGAACATTATACAAATATGTAACACACTATTGATTACTAAGGTAACTAAAAATCTTTAATTAAACGATATGTTTCTAAAATATTCTAAAACTAATCAAAGTATCCAAATTCTAGTTTAATCACATCTTATTATATTTTAATTAAACTAGAAATATGCCGAATTCTCTTATAAACCCGATTATAAAATGTCAATTTTATTTTCCCTCCATTTATAATCTTATGTCATTAGATATAAACTCTTATGCTTTAAACAAAAAAAAAAACAAAAACAAACCCCCTTTCAAATTTAAATATTCTTTAGAAAAATATCTATTATTGATCTTTCTGCCGAACAGAAAGAAAAAACAAGACAGTGTTTTCTCCAACTAGACCATTGTTTCTATGATATTCATTAAACCTGATAAATTATCGGTTCCTTTACTCATTCATTTAAATAAAAAAGAAAAGACGTTCCGTTTTTTTTTCTTTTATTCATTGAATATAATGTTCATTAGATTTGTTAAACTTACAATTAATTTGGTAATGAAATGTAAAATTTCAAGAAAATATTCATTCAATTATCGGTGAATTGTCTTTGTCTATGAATGATATTTCTAATCCTATAGAATGATGACAATATATGCATTTATTCTGAGTTTGTAACAGATACAGATTATGAGTATTAAAATATACCATGACAGAAAATTAATTTCATTCGGTATACTTTTTATACAATAATAATAATAATAGTAATAGTAATAATAATAATAATAATAATAATAATAATAATGACAAGCAGTATTATGGATTTGTTTTACCCCCGTTTACTAAATGTGATGTTCCATTTAGATTAGAGGAAAAATAATGACATTTCTTTGGATAAAAATATTTTATATGATTATGAGTACTACTATTAATAACCATTACCATTACTATTATTAGTATCATTAATAATAATAATAATAATAATAATAATAATTGGCATAGTGAAGAAAATTATACCATTTTACAATTACATCAATATTAAACATTCATTATCTACGTTAAATCAAAAAAATTCGTGAACAGTTGTATTTTATGGTCTCTAAATATCAAGCCTCCGTCTCTCTGATCAACCCTGTAAATTAGTGTGGATACTGTAATAATTATATATATATATATATATATATATATATATATATATATATATATATATATTCTCAATTGGATATCGATCAACAGTTAAATCTCATGCTCAATGAGCCACTGACCTGAAAGTTGTCGATACGAGTCGTCCCTTGCCCCGGTTATGGTTATCATTACTGAATGAGTTTGAATTGAATGATCGATTCAGAACTATCGTTACTGTGAACTAATCAACTGAACTATGATTAGATTGTGAGAGAGAAGTCCGGTTTGCGTCAGTAGCTCATTCTTATTCAGTTAATTATTTGATAGACACATGTATTGCATAAAAATGACTAATTTTACTGTTGTAAAGCTTTCTTGACCAGCACATATTTTGTGTCAGAACAGTTTATGTTATTAACTTCTTATGGTTGATCAGTTGGTCCAACAAAACATGTGTGCAGTCTTGTGATTTAGGCCAGTAGATTATAAAAATAGGATAATAATATCCATTACTTAACGTATATGTATTTATTTTGCATTTGAATCTTCACATTAAGGATGTCGGTTATCAACAAATGAAATAATAAACGTCTGAATCCTGGTTTCGTGCTTGTCGTAATTCCATAGACCGGTAAAAAATTACTATGCTACACATGTTTCTCAATTAAAATCCAAGATTCAATGATCAACAATAGAAAAGTAATATTCTCAGTAAATATCATTAACCTATACATTTCATGAATTTAACAATAGAGATGAGCCTACGTGTACCATTCGTTCGGAATCAGGGTTTCCTA